AAAGAAAACTTACCGCTGAGGACAGCGTAACACAACTGAAAAAAGTAATAAAGGCAAATTATTATTTCTCTCAGTATTTATTAATTTATTGTAATTTTAGCAGAAAAAATGTGTAAAACCATCCATTGTGGGTTTCAAATATGTACGTGATGTCGCGGAAGACGGTAAGTCTCCTCTCCTGACTCTTCGGCCCCCCTCGACTGTCCTGATTAGTGGTATTGTACGATGTTCCATCGCCTTGGACAAAGCAAAACTATTTAGGCAAAGTTCTACTTTTAATGCGCGAGATTAGAACGGGGAGTGGGTTAGATGTGCTGAATTTTAATCCATTGCATGCTGTATGTTTTTACTTCTGTTTCTCTATCAATTTAATACGAGTACACCTAGTATGTAGATATTGTAGATTGTAGATAGTAGCTGATGTAATATAATATCATACCACAATATTGCGTTTATTTGTTGAGAGTATATCAGATAGATTTAACCATTTAAAGAACGAATTACAATGCCGTTACTAAGACAACCGAATATAGGAATGGAAAATTGAAAAATAAACAAATACCAAATTCGAAAAAATATGACTATGCGAGTATTACGTCACACTTTTATCGCTATATTTGTATCGGTAACATATAAATACATCCCTAATAAGTGTAGTTATATAATGAATAGCTTGTTTTAAATTGTTCATAGAGTAAAAATAAACATTTGGGGTAAAACGTATAATGCATAGGTACAACACTGGTACATTGCTCTTTTAGACACAACTCTTTAAAACGTACAAAATATGCAATAATATTCMATGTTCGTCAATTGTCTGTGAATTTATTAATTAAATTATATGGATTTAATTAATAAAATAATAATAAGCTCATTTTAATATTCAATACAATTTTGTTTAATTATTATAAAACTAACTATTATTTATTAATTTATTTTATTTTATTTCGTGTACATTTGTAAAATACTGGGACTCACTGAAAAAACTCATGTGTGTATGACTATGTGTCGTGGGGTGMAAAAATTATACATTACAAGTTCAAATATTTTTATCTTATTTTGTTATTTAACAAAGTAAAACCCGTTAAAGGCAATCTCTTCAGGATCGGTCAAACAATTGTGTAGTTCTGTAAATTATTCATAAAATGATAGGAAAATGAACATATGTAAACTATACCTACATATAGGTATATATTTGGCTCAAGAGTATCAATATTATATAGCCTGCCATGATATTTAACAGCTTATATTAGTGTTTATTTGTGTCGCACTTAACTTTTTTTTCTTAATAACCAGTCTTGATAATAAATATTAAATACAAATTTCAGTTCTGGAAAATATGAACCATCCAGTATCAAACTTATCATTAGCACACAATAGTGTAAAAATCTCTGAAGAGAAAAAATTACCGTCAAAGAATGTAAGTTTTATTAAATAATTTATTATTTTATTATAATATGTCTTATATTTATAATTTTAAATTGACATCTGACATTATAGAGAGCTCAAGCTCCAAAAACATGTCCAGCTGTCATACAATTTGGGCAATTCAAGGTGAAGACTTGGTTTTCAACCAGATTTCCACAGGAACATGATGCTGTAAAATTGATTTTTTGTGAATATTGTTTAAAATATACTCAGTGCAAATCGGTTTTGGAAAGACATATGCGACGTTGTAATTGGAGAACACCACCAGGAACTGAAATCTACCGCAATGAATGTCTAAGCGTTTTTGAAGTTAAWCAATATTTTTTAAACAATTMATAAGTGGTAAACTATAGAGTTGTTTACTTTTTTTTCACACAGGTTGATGGAAGTARTAACAAAATATATTGYGAAACATTATGTCGGATTGGAAAACTATTTTTGGATATTAAAACTCTGAAATATGGCGTTGAACCGTTCCTTTTTTATATTCTRACGAAAAATGACGATTTCGTAAGTATATATATTTATTATGTATTGTATTTTATAAAGTTGTAATACTATTGTAACAATTTTTCATTAAAAATGTTAAGGGCAATCATTTAGTTGGTTATTTTTCAAAAACRAAACACGGGGAGAACAATTTTAACGTGGCTTGCATCATGGTCATGCCACAATATCAAAGACAAGGGTACGGACGACTTCTAATCGAATTCAGTAAGTGAAAACTATACGAACCTAGGTAGTTGTTTAAACAGATATCACGTTTTATTAATCTTTTCAGGTTATCTCCTATCTAAAATTGGAAAACAGCCTGGAACACCAGAAAGACCCCTTTCCGACTTGGGTGAAAAGTTGTACAATTCATATTGGAAAAGTGTTATATTGGAATATTTTAATAARTACACAAATAATGATAATACATGTATCAAGATATGTAGCAATCATATTATCAGGAAAACAGGTAATTTAAAACTTTTTAATCTGTATTTCGTGAGATAATTATAAAATAGTAGCACATTTAATTCAGGTTTGATGAAACAAGACATCATCAATACTTTAAAATCTTTGAACTTTGTTGTGGAAGTATTTAACAGAACTACAATATGTATTGACTGGGATATTGTAGATGCTCATATACAGAAAAAAATGAAGTTAAAAAAGGTTCATATCAACCCAAAAAAATTAAATTGGACACCACCTTCAACTAAATCATAAAATTTAATACATTTTTTGATTTATTTTCTATAGATGGCAAAGTTAGTTTAAAGTAGTATATAAGACAAAAAAAAATTGTTATTTGTGTAAAAAATTCGTATTTTAATGTTTTAAGTTTTTTTTCAGGTTGATTTTTACCCATAAAAAAAGATGCGTTTTTAGTAGAAAATATAAGACAAAAAAAAATTCTTTAAATTTTTTTAATGCTTAATAATCAAATGGATATTGTTCCCTAACTGACTGCAAGCTAAGTTATTGTCTATATATCGTACTATCAAATACCAATATCAATAATCAAGATAAAAATGTTTTTAACATTTGAATAATTTTATTTCTCAACATTTTACTGAACAATGATATTATTATAAATTTAATCCATACCAATTTCCGATAATACTAAGATATATAACAATTGTTTTGAATTTAACATATTTAAAAAAAAAAAAAAATATCAAAACATATTCACGTTGAACAAAAAATTAAAAAGGAAATCTCCGATTATTTTCACCAGATAGCAATAGGTTAGTTTTAAATAGCCACAACACAAAAAATATTTTGTGTTGTGTGTTGTTTTGTTTTTAATAAAATTATTTTACGTTTCTAATGACATTATTCTTAATATTTAATATACCTACAATAATAAAATAAAATTATATTTAGTTGTAACATAATTAATTAATATGATTTATTTAAATTATGCAATGAGTGTGTGAAATATTTGTGTTCAATACACATTTGCAGCTTACATGGACAATGAGAATTACAAAAGTATAGGTCTAGGCAATGGAGTGGCTTTTAATCTAATTCTGACTTATACCTAACTTATATGTGAGGTCTGAAATCAGGATTTTTTGAAATGAAACTTCTTTAGGCGCGGTAGCATAAGTCGAATTCATGKGCTCACTGGCTCAGTAGTTGCGACTAAAAAGCGTCACGGGCGTGGCTTACTCGACACTAAGGAACCAATCAGACAATCGGATATTGCTGGCCGGTCACCGTGTTCCTCCTGACATATAGTACAAATTCCAGAGCTGACGAACTGGACGAAAAACGTCCGTGTCTGTTTATCATAACCTAACTCTATGTATTAAAAAAAAAAAAACCAAACGAAAGTCAGAAAAATCCGATCGTTGGATTATTTTCGTTTTCATTTTTTTATCATTAATTTATTATATGAAAAAAGCTCTTATATTGCACATTACTTAAAAATATTTTGACTGTCACTTGTTCTATAGTGCTTGAAAACAACTAACTAGTTGAGAATAACATTTAATAACATATATATAATATATATATATATAGTTAAACAAGATGATCCCGTGCACTTCGTTGCCCGTTAAATGTACTAAATTTATATGACTCAAACTTTGTTCAATTCCTTATTTAATAACAGCGGCGTAACCAAGGGGGGGGGGGCTGAGAGGGCTATAGCCCTCCCCATTAAATGTGTCGACCTTAGAATTTCATCAAAATTAAATATTAATGTTCTGCCATAACAATAATTGAATTCAACAATAAATAAATAAATAAATAAATAAATAAATTTATACCTATACATATAATTGTAAATAGTTAATAGTGTAAATAAAAAAAAAAATTGTATTTGTATTTTTTGTGAGACTTAGCCCCCCCCCCCCTCCCCCATACACAATTCCTGGCTACGCCACTGTTTAATAATCGGTGTATGGTGTTCAAAACTTATCTTAACTTTTCCGTTACCTGTAATAAAAATTCTGATTTACAGAAGTATAATATTATCAGGTAGGCAATCTATCTGCGGTAGATCTCGGACCTGGTGCTGTTGGTACGTAAGTGTATGATTTAACTGTTAACTCTAAAGAATTAAAGTTATACCGAGTTTCCATTTTTACTTAATTCCACTAACGGTGAATTAATATAATCAATTAATATAAAATCCTTGATTATACTAGCTTGATAATACTACCTGCTTAATCTTAACGCCCGWTATGATGAGCATAGGTTTCATTGCAAACGTTTATGCGTTATACGTTATACGGTGACTCCGGAAAACGCCTGCAGCAGGTGTGCGCGTGAAGGTCTTCGATCGCAAATTAGTGGGGAGTAGAGCCCATCGGATAGATAGACGGATACATATAGGCGGCGAGTTTGATTGAGTGTAAGGGTGCACATAGTGAGAGATATTCGGTCCGGTGTTCGCCTCCGGGCGATTTGTGTCCGCCGCTAATGGATTTCGGATGTCCTCCCCTGCGGGTCACGCCGGACTCGGGACACGGATTTCACACGATTTCTCCTCCGTATAATATCATGACGTAGGCAATTGTATGTGTACTTAATATGTACACACGAGTAATATTATAATATGTTCTAAGTATATTTATTATTACCCTAAGCGTTCGTATAATAGTTCGACCTTGGCAGCTAAACGATATATTATTTTATTCAAATCATCAAGGATAAAACTTTGTGCCATAAAATATAGAGATATTGCATTAGGGTGGACTATGTCACTATGATGTGATTTTTTAGTAATCTAGATTTAAATGTAATCGCGCACTAAGATATTTAATATACAAAATTAATCTGCGTGGGTAGTAATAAGATGATATTTTATCAAACGGACGTCGATACATATTATATTATTTTTTATTAAATAAATTGATAATATTTTAACGCGATGATGGTTCCGTGATTGGCTTATTTTTTAAACCAAATTTATAACTTTTGTCAACATTTACTTTAATCGTAGGTATTCAGTATCTATTTTATAATATTTTTATCAATAAAATAAATAATAATTATTTTTTTTTGCTCATCGTAATAAAAATCGATTTGAATTGAAATCATACAATTCGCCCGATTATCGTTCTTCTAATATTTTACGTGTATCCTACCATTGTTACCTAAACGCATTATGAGCTGATCATGATCATAATATTTAAAAAATGAGTCATTGAGACTGTAAGTGGATGAATAAGATGATGAACTGTACATCGTGCAACGTCGTCATGCGGTTACACAGTGTCTATGGGGTGGCGGGGTAAAGAAAAAATGTCGTCCGTATCGAATTTAACGTAATCCAAAAAAAAAAAAAAAAAACAGATGGACTAGTTTGAAAAAATAAGGTCACCGCGCCGTCGTTTGCTGGTCCCTTTGTCGGCATTTATCAGCCGGGCAGCACAAGCAGCAGGCGTTTCCGAAACACAAACAAAAATGCTGTTCGTTAATGATCTCTTTCTTGTAATAATTACCGAGAGCCTAATTACCTTACGGATATCATACAAATTATATTAACGACGGAGAATATTATTATAATTATTATTACTATGCTTTGAGAGCGGTCTGTAAAGCCGCCACCGCTACCGTCGACGACATCATAACAACACGGGCTGTTAAATCTTTACAACTAATTAAGATTGTTTGGCTTTTGGACACACAGACGTGAGCGCGCGCGCACGCACACACACACACACACACACACACACACACAGCTTATAACATTGTATTATGTGCCAGACGAGAAGTCGGGAGCAGCACATGTGAGAGACACACGACCGGAAAAAAGAAAATATTATACACACTTATTACGTGGATGCGTAACACTATTATATTATTATTATATATTATTATTACTATCATCATCGTTATTTTTATAATAATWATTATTACTRTTATTATTGTCATTATGATATCGTCACGTTGTAATTATTTCGTCGCGGTGCTGGTTCGTGGCATACTATAAGACGATATATATATTCGTCTTAGCAAAAGGCGGAGATATAGRTGGTGCGCGTATATATTATATAAAAAGAAAAACGGATGCAAATTATCTGATGCATTAATTACTGTAATTGCTTGCATTTCATGGACAATCGGCACTTATCTTTCAAGTCTTATTGCGCGTATAGCTGCACGTGTGTCGATTTTGTGTCGACCGTGTCGCGTACGTACATCATCCGACGATCATCATTATAAGAATAAAAATAATAAAAATAATACACCATATAGCGGCCTAGTTGGTGGTTACTGAATACTGGTAGTCAGGTATAACGTACCTACCTGTCAATGTTTTTTTGTGTTTCTAAACATATATGTAATTATATACAATATGAGACTTGTTGAATAATATTCCCCTCCTCGACATAAAACACGACGTCAATATAAGCATAACAATTAACTTAAATGAAGTGTATGTGCGTTTTAGATCATTATAATATAAAAACTTGTTAATCATTTATATTATACATAATACATCTATAATATGAGGTTTTCGTAAGTACAAAAATTAGTTACCTACGTCGATTTATTGACATTTTATCGCAATAATGGACCAAATTAATAATGATTTTGATTCGTATTCGGAATTCAGACTAAACGATTAGTCGTTTCCTAAACAAGATATGTTTCATCGGACATATTAATGTGTTTGTTTTTATATTATATAAATTACATTTCAAACATTGAATCTGAAACTATTATCGAGCCTGGGGGTAGTAATTTATAATTAATTAATTATTACAGCTCTCCGTTGAACATGGCCCAGAGGAGGAGAGCATAAACTTTTCGTTTTAAAATAATATAACTTTTGCGTTTTTGTTTTAATACTCTACCAGTTATACGGAAAATTATATATACATCTATATACTTATTTAATTTATGTTTTCAAATAATTCCCATTTGGCCACGTATTTAAAAACATTTATAAAACATTAATTAATTGTGTGAATATTTCTGCTWTAAATTCGTTGGCATTTAAATATAGAAGGGCTTATAAATAAATCATTATATAACCATCTAGTGGAAATTCTGATGGATTTAAACGGGCTATGATTTTCCATCACATTCGGCGATAATCCAATTTTCCATTATAGCGCCCAAGCTTATATCTGATTATCACCCTAAATTGCACACATCCACAACACTAGGGCGAGTGTGCAACTTAAACAGTCGAATAATTTCTCCGTGGATTATAGCAGAGCTAGTATGAAAATTCAAAACATAATACTTTTGTTTAATGCAAG